TTTCTCCACAAGTGTCAAGCTTCAAGTTCAAGTTCAAGAAATAAAGTTCAAGTTCAAGAAATAAAGTTCAAGTTCAAGAATAAAGAACAAATCAAGGTCAAGTTCAAGTTTAAGAACAAGATCATCGTTTGTGGCAACAAATACATATTCAAGATCAAGCTCAAAGGCCCTTGAATTTATTTACTATTGAAAAGAAGAATCAGAGGATTCATAAAGATTGTACACTCAAATATTTGAAATAAAATACTATGATTGTTGCGATATTTTTCGGTCTTGATTTTATTTTCTCGACGCAAATTTATTGTCTACAATTTGCTTTAGATTTTTGTATCTCTTTTTAAAATGACTTTCGGATATTATTGAAATAAATTGTAAAATGTCTTAATTAGGTTAATTATATTCCCGAATCAACCAACTTAATTATGTGAAATTAGCTGAAAATGTGAAATTTTCAATATTAACTTTTTTTCTTTATAAAGTTCCAAGAAGATGCTTGACAGATTAATGGTTTCTCATACTATCTATATCGTCTCCTTTCAATCTATAAGTATATGGATTATTCATAAATAAATTATTCTTCTATTATCTCTCATAAAGATTTGAAACTTTGTCAAATTAGGTGGAATAAAATCTAAATCCAATAATTAATTAAATAGACACTCTTGGAATAATAAGTTCGAATACTTTAATGAAAAGGGATGCATTTTCGGAAAAGAAAAAAAGGTGTGCATGTTCTATGGAATATTATGATACGGAGACCTTGGCTCAAATTAAAAATCAATAACATTTCTATAATATTAGGGTAGAAAATTAGTAGGTATTCGAGTGTTCTTCTTTCCATACCGGTTGTATTAGTATGTATTTTCGTATTTTATTATTCTTAGGTTCCTATGCTACACGTTGTTGCTTTCGTTTCGATCAACTTATTATCTTGTTATTGTTTCTGCTTCGTTTTTATGGCTTCTGCACTATTGTTTTACTTTCTCATTATTGTTATGCTTTCCTTGAGTCGAGAATCTATCGAAAATAATTTCTCTACCTCTACAAGACAGGAATAAGATTTGCGTAACCCTACTATATGCGATTATATTAGGTATGTTATTGTAATTAAAAAAATGAATATAAGAATCAATAACATTTGTGGTATAGAAGATTAGAAGTTCTTGTCTGTTTTTTATTTTCCTTTTCCCTATTTTCCCTATAGTTTATTTTGTTTACTTTGTGTGGCTAAATGCACTCGAGAATTTGGACCTCAAGTATCCTAGTTTGCCTTTGTGATTTGCATTTTATCCATTTTGTTTTTTTTTTCCTGATAATTCCGCATCAGTTTTTTTTTCTTTTTTTAAAAATTCCAGTTTTCAATCCCTTTCAAAAGAAAAAGACATTAACTTATTCTTGCAAAGTAAATGTTGATTTTTATATAAATAAACGGCTATTTCTTAAATATTAAAATATCATCCAAAAATCTTGTGTGCTAATTGCAATTCAACTTTCCTTCAAGGGAAACAATCAGCCAAAGTTACTCATAATGAGAGCTAGCTTCATAATGATGTTTCTTTTAAGATTTATAAACCTAAATGGCTGACTTTTATTCGTTATTACTTCCTTCGATTACAAATTTTAGTCTTTTTGGTCCAAAATATTTGATGTTTTAGAAGAATATATAACTATTTATTACGTATTATTTTTATTTTCAAATTTACCCTCATTGCTCCTTCAATTGGAGTGTTAATTAAGTGATAGGAGTGTATTTTTGGGTGAGATAAAAAGTAATTAGACAAATACTCTTATGATTAAAGCTATTAAATTTTTTTTAGGCAATATGCAAAAACATTAACAACAGATAATGTTCCAAAAAACTTTGCATGTGTTACCTCCACCTAGCTAACATAACCATCAGTGAGTTGAATTGTTGAAGTAGTATTTAATACCACATCATGTATAAACGATCTTGATATACTTATAAATTGCGAATAGATGATGAAAAAAAGTTATATTATTGTGTTAATATTACAAAACAAAACAAAAAAAACCTAAAAAAAAGTGGCCTGTCCCCCATCTAGCCTGCTTGATTAACAAATTAGCCCTCAAATGTCAAAGCCAATCAAGAAGCTAGAAAAATATTTAAAAGGCATGAAATGACAGGTGACTACTTTCTCTTAAAGCTGAAAAGAGCTGTTTGTTAATGGTACCAAATCTCATTTAATACACTAAGGGCTCCTTTGATACGAATCATACCACAGATAAGAAATAATTAATTTCGGGACTAAATTAGTTGGAATAAAATCGTGGTATAACTAATCTCGGAATTAGTTATTCCAAATTGTAATATTTTTTATCCCTGTGGAAGGGTGAGATAACTAAATCTCGGAATAATTAATTATAAAATAACTTGTTTCCCAGCCAAACGATCCAAAAGAATCATAGGATCTTGAAAATCTTCTCAACCCTTATGACCATTAGGAGTGTCTGCAAAATCTCATTTTCCCCTTTTGAGAAGTACAAAAGTCATAGTTGGAAAGTATGTTAACAAAGAAAATGTGGGGGTCGTTCAACATCTGACGTTGTGGTTTAATTGTTGTGGTTTAATTGTCAATAAAGTCTGTGAAAATCACGAGTGACTAAAGTTTTAAATTACATCAGAGAAAAGGAATTCGATTCAATTCTTTTCATTTATCTAAGTCTTGACGATAAAAATTATCTATGCTGATAGAAGATATCAGGTACTCAAGGCCGGCTAGACCCTACACTTGCTTTAGGCCCCAAGAATTTATGGGCCCCAAAATTACTATTTCTCTATATGTAGTATATAATTTATATAATTATCGCTTATTATTGATAAATTTATTTCTTTGTTTTCATATTAACGTTGATTTCTTCCTATGATTAGTATAACCAAATTAGTTTCTGCCAATGTTATTTTATATTTTTACAAATTATTTTACTCTATTGTCATGTAACTATATCTAATAATCTAACTTATTAGTTATTTTTCTCACATAAATTATACTCCCGCCGTCCCAATTTATATGAAGGTGTTTGACTGGGCATGAAGTTTTAAAAAAAAAAAGACTTTTGAAACTTGTGATCTAAACAAGTCATAGAAACTTGTGTAGCTAGAAATCATCTCATTAAGGGTAAAGAAAAAATTTACTGTTGAATTATTACCAAATATAGAAAGGTATTCTTTTTAGGGCAGACTAAAAAAGAGAGTCACGCAAATTAGGATAGAGGGAGTATGTTTTCTAGGTTCTCTTATTTTAGTTGTGATGCAATCAAGGTTAAATTCATTCAATATTTTGTACTTTATAAAACCAAGTTCTCATTTTTTTCCATTCCACGCTTGTCTAATTTATTAAACACGATGCTCATTAAATATATATGTATTTATTTAAGGCCTCAATAAACGAAAGTATTTGCAAGATTGTGCTTGGTAGTGGTAAAATAGTGAAAAAAAATAGTTATCCACCCATATTATCCATTAAAATTTGTTGGATAATAAACTTTTTAAAAATAGGTCAAATATTGATAAAAACTATATTATTCACTTAGAAAATAGATAATCAATGGATAACTAATGAGTTTAACTTTTACATTTGTAAAGTCTCAAATTGGGGGTTCCTCACGTTTGAGAGACTAAGAATTCTTCCAAAAGATCATATTCAAGAAGCCACAGATAATATGGATATCCATATTATCCTCCGATTAACACATTTTTTATCCGTATTAAATATGGGTCAAATCGAATAATTTATCCATTTTCGATCCGTCCATATCTGCCCGACCTGCCCGTTTGTCATCCCTAATTGTACCTACCAATAACTTTATATTAACAAAGAAAGAGTGGGGGTCATACTCCATGGCCATTTCAGCTTTTTCTAAAGCCTTCCAAAGATGCAAAACCCATGTGTAATGATTGTCTTAAAGACATTTGCCTTTTTCTCTTGTGATGATTAAAGCAGTTAATACAGCAATTGCACCACCCAACCACATGTCAATCCTACTTAGAAACTCTACTTTTTCCTCATCCTACAGTTGTCATCTCTAACCCTTTGAGCTGTGAATGTTCAACCAAAACTTCAAACATTTTCTTTGAGCGCACATATATATATATATGTGTGTGTGTGTACTCATTTTTTGAGTACCAGATTGTCAGGAGCAATTTTCATCTTGTCAAATAATATGCATTAGATGAAAAATGATAACCGCGAAGCAATATTATAGATGTTGTATAATGTATACAACAACAGTAACAACTGTGCCTTAATGACTTAATCTCAAACTATTTGGATCGACTGTGTGAATCATATAGATGGTATTCAATGTTTATACTTCTGATTCAATTAAAATTATTTGTGTTTTCAATTCCCATCATCTTTAGTTTGTAAGCCAGGTAATGAGTTATGACTGAACAACAGCTTTATCTTTATTCCTTTTTGGCTAAAATATGAAGAAACCAGACTTGGAAAACTCACATGGTGAGGTGCACAGTGCACTGTCTTTTGGTGAAAAAAAGGGAGCACAGTCTTTTGATTTCAGTTTCATCATTTCTTTTTCAATAAAAAATATTTTCAGAAATCTTACCATCTGGAGACAACTAGATCCACTGTTTGATGGATCTTTATCAAAAGGAAATAGCTTAGTCCTATCAGTATAAAATCAGATGCTCTCCTGATAATACTAGAGAACTAGATCCTGTATACATAACCGGATTGGTTTAAACTTGATAGGTTCAACCTATAGTGCTCTTAGACTAAACTCATTGTACTTGAAATTATGGATTCAAGATTTAACATTTATGGAAAATTTGGTGGTTTTGAGTTTTAACATATATATATCTATGTTCTGTGTTGATAATGCTAGGTTCAGTTGAACCTACCATAGAAAGGCTGCATCCGCCTCTGCCTATACGACCGCATGTAAGTTTCAGAACCTGCTAGATGCATGTAAGTTCCTTACATACTATTGTAGATCATTGTCATAAACAATAATCCAACAACTGAGGGTAACAAAGATGTTTTTTGAAGACATCACAAAGAAGTGAGAACTACAAAAATGAACTCACTCAAACATCTTTTGGTCTAAATAGAAGCTAAAACATGGAACAGAAATACAAGAGAACCAAGGGAAAATCTGATTAAGTAATAAATACTCTAATGAGAAACATAAACCTTCAAAAGCTGCAGGTTCACAGAAAATGGTAAGCTAAATGAACAATTCTCTGGCTTCCCCATATTTCTACAGGAAAGGAGGCAATATCACCCATCGTCGAGGATACTTTGGTCTTCCTTCCTTTCCATCAAAGAGCTGCAAAGAAAAGGTGCCAAAGCTAAGAACCAGAACAAATGACACAATAAAAATAGAAGCTTCCTGAAAAGCACAAAAGAATATTTGCATAAAGCACACATCTTGCTTGTTAGCAATTCCGTTAATTGGTCCTATCCGAATAAAATGCAAACCAATTTGGCAGGAATTTGAGAAATAATTCCATCTTATTTGTAGTGTAGTACTCATGCATACAGTTTAGATTCTCTTTAAAGCAAAACGTGTTAAGTTTGAACAGTCATCTATGAAAATAAGCAAATAACTCCTATCTTTTGGGAGGAATAAGTTTCTATTTTCTTTCCTTAGGTTAACCCCCCAACGGCCCAACCCCGAAAGTGCAGTTCATCAGTGACAAGAAGCTGATGGAATAGATAATCTTCCATTCAAAGTAGCACCGTATACTTTCGAATTGAAGCCCATTGATATAAGAAGACTTGGGTAGTCAACAAGCCTCAATGAAGATGTAATTGCATGTATAGCCTAAAGGAGTACATACTGCTGTTTTCAATTGGTAAAAACTTTCTTTTTGTCCCTTATTTTTTTAGAAGAATGTGGTCAAATGATTACCTTTCTCAAACGACGATGCTTTCCAAGGGCCCAGTTAGTCATAATGCTAGCAGCAACAACCATGAAGACATAGCCCGCAACGGTCTGAGTAGCAATGTTGAAGCCCAACCACTGGTAGATCTCTGTTGTGTAATTGGCACACGTAACAATATTGAACAAGAAGCCGTATGGTATTTGGTAACCTCCATTACCACTGGGACTTCGGAGATTTCTCAACAATAAATGGCAATAGAAGTTTGCAACTTGACAAACTAAGCCAAAACCAAATCCAATCTTCATCTGGAGATCGCTTACAGGAGTGTAAAGAGGGTGATTCACATAGTAAGCAATGAAAGCTCCAAAAGACCAATAATAGGCACAGTTCCGGAAAACATTGGAAAGTGGAGAAGTGGCATGGCTGAAGCGATGCACAAAAAAGGTCTCCATGATCCTTTTGAAGTAGTGGAAACACCAGTAATACATGGCATATGTCTGGACAGGGTGGATAACACGTTCTTCTTTGTAGCCGAAAAACTTGTAGACTGGAAAGTAGTAAATGATAGGATAGAGTACCAGAGGACCTAGATACTCCCAGAAGAAAAGTGTACTATACTTAACCTGCGGACCAAGATCCTTGAAAACTACGGTTAACTCACTCGTGCTCCCATTAGTATATTCATTGAGACTCTTCTTGTAGTGAAGAACAGTTGGCCTCTCTTTTGACCCAGGTTGGACAGGCAGGGTGAGTCGCTGTCTAGAAGGATAGTATTTTCTGGCTGTTGAGATCAGAAGCAAACAATATTTTAATGATGTCAAACTCAAAATAATACAACTACTGAAAATAAGAAAGTGGTTTCAAGAAAAGGCAAACATCAGAGTACACCATTCCACAACTTTTCCCACGAATTGTAAATTCACCAACTTCATAATTATGGTGACTAATCTGCATTTGCGTTCAATTGTTCAAACCGCATGAAGTGCTAGATAGTCATCTTTAATTTTTAAAATATTACAACTCACAACGATCCCATAAAAGTGTCAAGCACATACAACATAAATGATAAAGACTTCAAAAAAGTAAATATTCGCGTGTAAGCTGCACAACTGGGAATAACATGTTGAAATGGAGCTAAAACATTTGCATGTACATAATTCATCACCCCAGCATTTATTAAAAAAGCAAAACCGTGTAAAATCACTTCATAGCAAGAAATGTACCTTACCATTACATTGAAAGGTTTGGCATATAAAAAAATCCAGTTCGATACAAACCTTTGCAGATGCTAGATTAAGACAACCTTTTTAACCATGGGTGAAGTGTATAGAGTGATAAGTACAAACTACTTTGGAGTGAATACGAAGGAAAAGCATCCTCACTTCTTACATAAATTACGATCCTCCTATCATTCACATTAAATTCTAGAAGAATCACACTAAATTTTAGAAGAACCTTCCTTCTTTATTTTTTCTGGAAATAACCGAGAAAGCTAGTTGATGCACAGTTTGAAACTCGATGAATAGTGGGCCCACCCCTCTACTTTTCTCCCCTTAAATACCAGCCTTTTTTTGTGGCACTCGTGACATGCGCCTAACCACACCATGCACTGCGCTCTTACCACTAGATCAAAGCCCTAGAGGCAATTCTAGAAGAATCTTCTTTCAATTGTTTACACAAAATTGTTCAGATGCATTCCAGTTTTTACTACATCGGCCATCGCTAGTCAATACAATCTAATTGAACAAGTATCAATCGCTTAAAAAGAACAGTACTTCTACCTTTTACTCTTTTGTTCCACATGTTAGTTCTAGAACTTTACTCATAAGACTTCAAGAGAACCATGAAACTTAACCCCTCCATCCCATTTTAAGTCACACAGCTTAATACTTTAGGTCAAAAAAATCAAAACTGAATTGAAATCACTAGCAAGTAGTTCAAGATTTTGATAATGATACTTGACCAATGATAAATCATTTTATAAGTTCCAGTTGAATTGATGATTATATTTTCTGATTGTTATTATAGCAATAAAGAATGCAAATGAAAATAACAAAATTTCCCCACGAAAAGTTAATCAGTCTCATCAAATTGGGATAAAGGATATCCATACTTCTTATACATGTTATTTTTGTCTTATACATGGAAGTAATAAAAACCCTTCAAGACGCATGGTGGTTCCATTTCAAGATGTTTTCCTCTTATTAAAATCAAACAATGAACTCCTTGTAAATTGATGAATATATTCTCAAAATTTTTGTAATAGCATATAAGGAATCCATGATGAAAAACAAAATGTTTACCAACAAAAAGTCAACAAGTGTCATTTGAATTGGGCAAACGGAGTACATCCTTCTAATATATGTTAGTACAACAATAACAACAACAACAACAACAACAAAAAACCCAGTGAGCTCCCACAAGTGGGGTCGGGGAAGGGTAGAGTGTACGCAGACCTTACCCCTACCCTGGGAGGCAAGAGAGGCTACTTTTTATATATGTTAGTATTAGACTTATATAAATTGTATGTCATTTGCTTCAATCCAGGGTGGTGAAGTAAGAAAAACCTTTTTGTGACTTAACTAGTTCATTACACGCATAGTAGTTCCATTTTGTGATGGCTTCCTTCTCGAAAAACAGTAAATGGGAGAGAACAGATACACATACACATACGCATACACATACACATACACATACACATACACATACACATACACATACACATACACATACACACAACATATATGTCTTCATACACTATATTTCATGCATTTTCAGCCTAACAAAAATAGAACAAACAAGTCAAGCGAGGTCAAGAGGTAGGGAGAATTGGAAAAGAACATAAAGAAAAGGAACACCATTATCAACTTGGTTTAAATCTCCAAAACCACTCTATATATGTACATAATACAAAAGACACTCACAACAACAACAACAACAACAACATACCCAGTATTATTCCACACCGTGGGGACTGGGGATAGAAGACAGACACAGAGACACAAAATTTTCTTAATTCTAAAGAAACAATTAAATTGTGAATTCACTCAGGGAGTTGAATCACAACTTAAAAATTGAAACCATAGATTTATTAGTCCCTGACATGACCAACCAGTAGAACATTAAAAGTTCCTGGCAATGCGCAAATCAACTTAAGTAATATGCATGGTAAAAGCTATTACACCTTCCCTTCAAACTACTCTGCCTTTTCATTAGTCAAGTGCCTAAAGGCAGATTTGATAGATATTTTCCTCTTGTAAATGTCAAGCATTTAACTAGTACATCAGAGCAAAATAACTGATTTAACTATCAGGCAACTTTCCAAGGGACGGATCTTCTGTTTTCTGTGAAAGATGCATGAACTATGAACTAGCAAAAACTAAGCTACGTTTTATCTCCTACTCCCTCCGTTTTAAAAAGATTGACGCTATTTCCTTAATAGTCCGTTTCAAAAAGATTGACACCTTTCAATATTTCCTTAATAGGAAGCATTTATAATCGCACAAATGCTATGGCCAGTGGCGGATTTAGTGTAGTATCACCGGGTTCAACTGAACCCATAACTTTTGATGCCGAGTAAACATTTATGTGTAAAAATTCATTAAAATTACAAAAACAGTAGATATGAACCCATAACTTTAAAAATCTAATGGGTTCAATGCTAAATATTTTAAAAGTTGAACCCATAATATTTAAATCCTGGATCCGCCTATGGCTATGGCAGGTTTAAGACCACAAGCTTCAAAAATTTTATAGCCACACAAATGATATGGCTTAATTAAGACCTTATTTATTAAAGTTTATGCCAAGTCAAACCAGGACAATCTTTTTGAAACGGAGTGATTTATTACATATACCTATGCGTACGCGGGGAGCATTATCCCATACCTCTAGAGGTTGATCCAAGATTTGAGTTTTATGGGTTAGTTTGGAATTCTATCACGGTCCATTTAGTGGATTTTTAACGCATTGAGCCAAAGCTACTTGATTTGAATGAACCTGTATCTTGTACCTATGTTGGTAGGAGATAGCAACTACGGTAGGATAGTCGAAGTGCACGGTTGTTTGAAAAAAACTAAGGTACCATCTTTGCAAACAATTAAGTAGTCAATTAAATATCCTTAAAAAGATCTTATGTTTGAAGAAATAAACAGTAGCCACTCACTTCGTTTATGAATTGCCTCCTGCAGATCAGTAACCGTGGCCTGAAATAACAACCACCAAATTTACATCAGCAGACCAATAAAATATAAAAGACATAGGTATATGCACCATTTTTCTAAAGAATTGACCATTACTCTACTTAAAATACGCGCCCATGTGGAGCAATTTTGCAAAAACAAAAACAAACCCAGATGAGGAAAGATGGAGAAACATACGGAATCGGTGAGCTCAAGGCCACCCTTGATTAGTTCTTTGCCGCTACGTGTAACTACCAAAACCTTCATTTTTTCACACTTTGGGATCTACGAAAGAGCAAATTTTCTGAGAAATGAATAATTGGGGGTTGAATTGTAGTAGGGGTGTGAGATCTTTGAAGGAGTTGGGACAGGTAATTAATGGCTGTGTATAGTTGGGTAGAAGTTAGCTGAACGAACCATTTGCTTAGATTAACTACTTCCAATCAATGTTCCCTCTTCAAAATCAATCTACAGATGCTTGATGCGCTATGGCCGGGCTTGGGCCGAGACCACTTCACTAGGCCCATGACCCGAAAACCCACTTATTTATTAGGTTTTTTTCACTTTTAGTCCACGCTAGAAACTATTTATATTCGTTAGCCGAAAAAAGTATATAAAATTTATATAATTGTATGTAACATACAAAATATATATGTATATACAAAAAATATATATTTTTTCGGTTATTATTTTGAGAGCGACTATACAGTATTATTATTCCCTATTTTCTTCTCTTATGCCTCGAGGCAGATTCAAAATTTTAGCATTTCTCATATAAAAAAAAGTCTAGCAGTATTTATCACAAAGCCATGTCTTTCCTGCTCAAATTCATGACATGTTCAGCGACTTACTAAAATTAACGTTGATTGAGGCGTTCCGATAACGAGCCCTAAGAAAGACGAGGAAAGCATTCTTTTCGCCGGCCTTTATTGGAGCAAAGGCATCTCGCTCAAATAGCAATCCAATCATGTAACAACTAGTTGTTCAGCCAACGGGTTCAAAATAATTAAGACACGTACATGCCTATAAAATTTTGATAATATATATACTTATAGAATTTAATCGAACCGAAAGAGAGAAAAAATGCGTCTAATACATACTATCGAAAAAGTAAATCCATCCATGCCGTTCACCAAAGGACTCGGCCCTTTGTTCAATGGATTCATCTTATACTATTATGACTTTATTTATCAATAATTGCAGAGTTTAGTAATTAGGTACTTATGGTTGAAAACATTAAAAAGCTTTGTACAAAATCTGATACCTACTTGCTGGATTTTATAGTGTCGGCCTAATAACTTTACTGTTTACCAACTGGATACTTCAATAGACTATGCTCGATGTTAACATTCACGTCAAAGCAATGTCAAATGGGTGAGTTGGATTGATTTCGAACAGGTTAAAATCGGTTGAATTAATAATTGGGCGGGTAAAATGATTCGCCCAAAAATTATTTGGGCTAAAATGGATTGGGTCAAGATGGACTAAAATTTGAATCATAACCCAACCCGTTCAACTCTTACCAAGCTTTACTTAATGAGTATTGTTTTCTTATGAATAATATAATTACTAAATAAGATCTTCTTTTCTTTTATTATAGTTATATATAACATATCAAACAATAACAAAAAAAAAATCTACGATATTTTGGCAAATTACTCATGAATCAATTTGGCTAAAAATCAGCCCAATTTTAAACGGGTTAAGATGAGTCGGATCAATATGGGCTGAATTTAATAAATTGTCGGGTCAATAACCAGCCCAACCTTGTGCGGGTCATTTGGGCTTGGGCCAAAGAAATTCAAAAATGCAAGATTTACAAGTGGTCATTCAAAAATAGCCACAGTTTCAAAAGTAATCGAAATTTTAACCACTTTTCATGTAAAGATAACGAAAACACTGTTCAAAATCCAGAAAAATACTCCAATACTCCAATCTCCAGTATATTATGCTGGAACTTTCCGCGTGTTGGAGTTCCAGCATAATATACTGGAAGTTCATACACAGATGCACCATCTCCAGTATATTATGCTGGAACTTTCCGCGTGTTGGAGTTCCAGCATAATATACTGGAAGTTCATACACAGATGCACCATCTCCAGTATATTATGCTGGAACTTTCCGTGTTGCAGCAAAATAGTAACTATTTTTCAATGACTTTGCAAACGTTGGCTATTTTTGAATGACCAGTCCGAAAACTGGCTAGCCCGTGCCATTTTTACATTTAACAGCCCTAGATCCAATCAACGTTTTGCTCCATTAATAGCTTTCTTTGTTCTTTTAATAACACAAGTCCTTGTTACTTGCATTAGGACATTGTCGAAGTTAATACTTCATATTTTACAATCATGTAATAATAGCGTCAACAATGGGGTTGAAGAAGAAAACTTCAAACGCGAAATATGGAAGCTATCCCCATTAGTTGGCTGTCGTGAATCACTAGCTTCTCAATATCAAGAAGTTAACTCAACTTGATACTTCCTTTTCTAAATAATGGTAGTATGCAGACCAACTCACCCCACCTCAGACTATTCCACCGAGTAAACTTGCTACTTCCCACTGACTAGGTCACCGAGTAGTCAGATGAGAAGAAATCATGTACCGTTCTTGCTACTTCCCACTAACAAATGAGAAGAAATCACGTACCATTTTGTCTTTGCTGAAATTTGAACCATGACCTCTCATGATTTTCTTTTTTTAATCAGGACTCTAATCTCTCATGCTTTTCACCCACTTTATTAACGCTAAGCCATACCTCGAGAGTTACTCAACTTGATAATGCAGGGATCAAAGCATGTTCCAACAACATAAAAGACCATCAAAGAGTGAAGATTCCAGGCTTCAGAACTCCCACAAAAAGTTCCAGCACCACCACAAGTGGCAGCTATAATTCTGATTGGATCACTCTCAACCTCCGGACAACGCAAAATTCCATATAGATCACAACACAATTGTTCTTTAAATGCATAGTTCCTCTGAAGTTCGAACTTGTAAGCTTACGATGAATGCCAAACAACAAGGACTAGTACAATATAAGGAAACCATAAGTCCCCTATTCACTATCACCTTGTTGACTGTCTAACGATGTTCAGGACTAGGATCCTTATATTTCTACAGCTTGCCCCTTTTGTCCATACGTCACAATTATGAAAATGAGCTTCATGAGAGTGTTGGAGAAGAGATTACCTGCAAATGCAACCTGCAGAAGGCTTCACATTTGATATGAAAGCTAAGTTTGGGTGAAGCTATGCGCTGAAATAAGTGTGCGCTTCAGACAAAGACGCGAAGGTAATCTCAACAAGAAGCGATTCGTTCTTCCAACCTCAACTCTGAGGTCTTGGATTAACTTTTCAGTGAATAATATGAACAGACAAGCCACATGTATTGACAAGCGAAGATACAAACCTACCATCACAGAGGTGGGCCTTGTCTTGTTTTGGTTCTTTAACATTCAGTGATTGCCAACACGTGACTTGCATATTCCAGAGCAACACGCACATCTGCAAGGACAACAGATTGAAGAAAGGATGCAGATTCTTCTAAAACTAAAAATATTGCTGTACCTCTAGATGTGAAACATCACTATTGTTCCCAAAAATACAAGAACAACATATAAGAGCAGTGGCATCACAAATGTTGAAGGCTTATCAAAACAAAAACACCAACTTTTGGCGACTTTCGGCAGGTGTATACACCCAAGGCATTTTTCTTAAGATAGACAAAAAAACAAAGAGATTGATTTGTGTAATCTCTGAATTTCATTTAAAAAATTGTGCTCTATGGAAAAACATCGCAAATTTTAAATCCCCTGTTTCTTCTAGTACGCAGGATCTGTTAGCAATTGCATACAAAAATTACCCAATCCTTAAATCATAGGCCAGAAAAAGTTTGGTTCTCTAAGGCTGGCTAAAGAATGTAGTTAGTTTGTAATGACACCTCGCTTTTGGCCTTCTACAATGGGAGACTACACTTCTAGTTCGCTCCATTTCCTCGCATCAGAACTCCCAGAAAAAGTTCCAGCACCACCATAAGTGGCAGTTATGACTTTGATTGCATCACTTTTCTACCTCCAAGAAAACACAAAGTTCCGTATTGACCACAACACAACTGTTCTTTAGATGTATAATGCCTTTGTTGAAACTGCAAGCTCACAATGAATCCTAAACTACAAAGACTTGTATAATATAAGAGTATGAAGTCCCCTATGGACTGTCACCTTGCTGATGACAAAAGCCACAGGATCAACTGACACTAAAAAGTGAATTTGGAATCCAGAATGATCCACTTTCCATCAAATAACAAAATTGAAAGAAATTTTAGATTGCATAATAGAACATCTCAACATCATCCAAACGACTTCAAAACAAGTTCTCTGCAATAAAACAGAACAAATAAGAAAATAAGTACCTGTGTAAGGGAGTCACAAAATACTAGGATATCGGGTGACAAGTTTTCTATATCATTCCTCGAATTGTTGAGTGTTTAAGCTTGTTGATTTCTCCAATGACATCAAGTAATAAGAGTAAAGAGCTCAAATATACTACAGTAAGGTTGGTCAGATTATATAGGAGAGCACTAAGAGTTGCTATTTACAGAGGTAGAATTAAGTCATTACTGTGCTAGCATGTTGCCTAAAGGTAAAGAACCATATGGTCTAGCTTACAACTAAGCACAGTTATGAATACCAGCAGAACACGATAATATCAATATCTAACAAAAGACAGTATAAGTTGAATATTTTAAAGAAAAAATCAGATTCCATCTGCGCCACAAACATAAGGCAGCAAATCAGGAGAAATACATGCACTGATACTTCATAGTTGGAAATTCATATCAAAGAAAGTTCGCACATAACACAGAACATGGAATTCTCGATATTCATAGGAGGTCATTGATTTCAAATATCGTAGTTCTGTCATCAAAATGAGGAACACGAGTTATCTTCAAGAAAGCATAGACATCTATTCCCGAAAGCAAAAGCAACGGGAAGAAAGTATCACAGATCTCATCTTATAGCATGCATCTAGTAGTCACACGAAGAAGAAGAAGAAGAAGAAGAAGAAGAAGAAGAGGGGGGAGGGAACGACATGTTCCAAGAATAAAGGTATAACAAAAACTTCTTGCTGCCGAAAGTTATCTTTAAAAAAACCCTTTTATCGTGACTGCCTTAAGCAGTTAAAAAAACACTTGAAAAGTGATAGCAATCTCTCAGGCCAAGTGGATACAGTACCATGAGCCTATCAGGTCACTGTCATACTATACTTGCTGGCTTCCAAATCCATCACTCCTTATGCATATTATAGATGAATAAAAAGGGCAGCCCGATATTATAGATGAATACAAAGCAGTATTTGAAAGACCACTAAATGTTAGGAATAAATAACCTTATATGTCCAAGACTAGGATCCTTCTATTTCTACAGCTGAACCCTTTTGTCCATACGTAGCAATTATGAAAATTGAGCTACATGAGAGAGAGAGAGAGAGATATTAATAGTGGTGGCGATTCTGATAGAGCAAAAGAGATTACGTGCAGATGCAACCTGCATAAGGCTTCAGATTCAATCTGAAAGTTAAGTTTAGGTGAAGCTGTGCACCTTAGAAAAGTGTGTGTTTCAAACAACGACGCGAAAGTAATCCTAACAAGAAGCAGTCGACTTTGAGGGGTTGAATTAGGTTTCAGTGAATAAATAGTATGAACAGACAAGCAGCATATCAACGAATAGTTAAACAAGCGAAAAAACAAACCCATCCACCATCCCAGAGGAGGGCCTTGCTTTTAAGTTCTTCAACATTCAGTGAATGCCTAACACACTTGCAGGAGGGCCTTGCTTTTAAGTTCTTCAACATTCAGTGAATGCCTAACACACTTGCGAAATTCAGAGTGACATGCATATCTGCAAGACCAACAGATTGAAGAAAGGATCGGCAGCTTCTTCGAAACTTAAAATATAGCTGAACCTGGAGATTTGAAACATCACTATTGTTCCCAAAAATACAACATCAACAACCATATAAGAGCATGCTGGCATGGCATCACAAACGATGGACAACTTATCAAAAAGAAAAACACCAAAAATAAAGACAGAAAAATAAAAACTAGAGGCATCCATCACTTATGAAGAAACCAGCATTAGCAATAATGTATAATTGACATTGAACAACGGGGTCTTGCAAAGTACAATAAGAAGTTCTTGACTAATATTAGTCCTTTGGCATCCTTTGTCCCTGTTATTGAGCCAATTTGGATATATCTTCATATTCAATAGCCTTGAGAATCTTCCCGTCATATATTCCTCTCTCAATTTGTACTTTAGCACAAAAGTTATTTGTATCAATTGCTAACAGCCTAGCATTTGATCCACGATATGCACCATTGACTATCCTGACAAGACCTCCAATTTGAGGAATTACAGTCTCAAGCTCTTCCTGATCAACCCTTAAAACATGCTTATTTTCAAGCATCTCAATCTCCCCAACATACTTATCAATAACCTTACGAATCACACCCTTTTGCTTATAGTATCCCTTGTCAGCCAAAGCCTTGCTCATTACCTTCACAATTATCCCCTCGCATAACCAGTAATCTTTCCTATTACTCCGCTCTTTCGCTTGCTCTTCCTCTCTCATTAACTCATCCAACACCGATTTACCTCCACCTATACCATTCTTACCACCTTTTTCCCCATCCTTGCTACCCTTTACGCTCTTCTCATTATCTATCTCATCAAAAATGAGTCTTGAGCTTTCTGCTCTCTCTTTCACAACAGATTTCGACAATGACCCTAAGGTTAACTTGATCTTCTGATCAGTCTCGGATTTCTCCAAGGGTTTCGGTGGCAACTCCAATTGCTGCTCAGAACCATCCATAGTTTCTGCACCACCCATCAACTGCTCCGCACGCTCTATTTGCTTCTTAATCTCTCTTTCCTGCTTCTCCTCATCCGCTAAATCGGCTCTAATTCGCTTGTTTTTCATTTTTTCCTTGAAGAGAGTCTCAGAATCGTTATCAATGTACGTGATGAACCACCCTTTCGGGGTTTCTTCAACTTTACACTTTCCCGTTTTTCCCAAGTACTTTACAAACTCAGTTAATGTTGCCCATTGAGTTGAATTCATATGGACATGGTGGCGATCAGCAATATACTCATTGTACACAACAGTCGCAGCCACACGACTGAATCGGTGACTACGCTTCATGTGTTCTAGGAATAAGCTCTCAAATTCCTCCGAATAGCCACCGACGATACGATTAGGGTTTTGACCGAAGATTTCCATTTGACGCTGATGAGATTCACTCATACAGTGGCACTTGAATCCGTTTTCGTCTCGACATTGCTTCTGACACATCTGGCAATACCATCGTAGCTTCTGTAAACCCTTAGCTTTGATTCGGTTGGCAATTGCCTTTGGGGTTAAAAAATCGTTTTTCCCCATTTTTTGAATTTGGTATTTGAGATAACCAAGTTCAAATCTGACGGAAAATCTAGGAGATGAAAGGAGACAAAGAGAGAGAGAGAGAGAGAGAGAGAGCACAACTGGATTTCGCCGGAGAGCCAAGAGGAGTGGTGGTCGGTCAATAATCCGTTCTTATTTGGAAGGGAACGGTCAGGCCCAAATGTATATTTGGGCTGAATTCCTCTGAATCTAATGGGCCAATGTTTTTATTTCGAAGAAGTAACCGAAATAGCCGTTCACCTAGTCTCTTAAACTATAAATAGCCGACGGATGTATAATATATGTATAATTCAGAATTGCATAATATATGTATAACTGTATATAATTAATGTATAATTTATTTTTATCGGCTAAAAAAAGTAAAGATTGAATCTGGCAGGCTATTTGTGTAACAATACCGAAAACTCTTTGAAGAATTAACCCCAACTGATTAAACTAGAAATAGTCGGTGGAGGTATAATATATACATAATATATGTATTATATGTGTATAATTAATATATAAACTATATATATGGCTAGAAAAATTAAATAATAAATATGGACGGCTATTCGTGTAAAGATCCTTTTTTCTTTTTCTTCTTCTTATCTTTTACACTGTTAGCAAGAACTAGAGAACTGTTAATAGGGTAGTTTTACTGGAACTAGTAGTATTTTTTTCTCGTAGAATTTACTATTTACTAATAATATTTTGATCACTGAATTGTTCACTTGGAGACCTCAAGAATGAGTCTATCGAATATTTATAATTAATATATTCCTACTCCAACTAACAAAGGAAAATAACTAAAATAGAGAAAAGGAAAATCCTAAACCGAAAATTGAAACATGATATTCCTTCTTTGATAGAAATACTAAACCAACTTAGGAAAGGAAATAAAATACAGAAGATCCTATTTTTAGAAGAAAACAAGAAATATCGTTGAGATGTTTTTTTGTTTCTGCTTTAAAGACTAATTTATATTATAATCAAAAAGGTGTTACATGGTGCTGTTCATTAAGTGCACTATTGTACTTTACTATGCTATGACTAGTGGTACTACTATTAATAGTGGTTGAGTGAGATGAGGAGATTCTGTTTGCGACATTGCTCGTAGATGGCATGTCCCATTAGGGGTGGGCATATTTCGGTCGGAACCGAATAAGCCGATCGAATCGAATTTTTCTTTTTATTTCGGTTTCGATTATTCGGTTTGTTCGGTCTGTTTCGATTTAAAATTTTAAAATTTCAGTTTTTCGATTCGGTTTTCGGTTATTAAGTTATTTAGTTCGGTTAACCGAAAAATCGAATTATTAGCATATAGGCTCTTTAACTTATATATATAGGCTAAGACCATAGGTAATAAATTAATACTATTAGGTCCAATTTATCAAAGACTCAACCCAATTAAGTAAGTCCATCAACTTCCCAATCTTAAAGACTTTCACTCTGTTAAAACTTCCATAGCATATATGATAGATACCGAGAGAATTTCACACAGAATTGTAATTTACACGATATTTGAATTTCATGATCCATAATAGTGTGCAAAGTTTAGTCTATTTTTTTTTATAAACTCAATATTTCCAACAATTTCGAAGTTTTGGGAAAAAACAACAAATTCGCCAGTCATATCATTACATAGAAAGAGCCCAATATGATAATGTTCAAACTGAAAAGCGAACCGAAATAACCGAACCAAAATTAGAAAATCGAACTGAACCGAACTTATTTCGGTTCGGTTACTACTTTTACAAAATCAAAAATCGAATAACCGAACCGAATTTCTTCAAACCGAACCGAACGGACCGAACATCCACCCCTATGTCCCATAGATTACAAAAAGTGGTTGGTGGTTCATACAATTCAGCAAGTGATATACGACACATTCTTTGTGTTGCATGACCCTGTTTGTCTTGCATGAGGAGGTTGATGACGAACATTGGAGAGTTTGCCAAAATGTGATGTTACTGCCCGATAATTGCATTCCAAAAAGTTCTAGTCTATCTGCTACCATTTTTTGCTCCCTGTAGGTGTGACTGACTGTTGGATTACTCAGTTGGCCAATCAGGAACCTGCAATCAGTTAAGAAGGGTGAGTAGTGTATAGTGTGTGTTTAACATGAATATTACATGTTGGGCATCCATCTGGATTTCCAAGGGTGTTAGGTTGTGGTGGACTGCTATTTGCAAATCACGTAGTAATGCCATTAATTTTATATCTATGACATTGGATGCTTGATAGTGGCCCGCATATCCCATTATCCAATCACCTTTGTGATTTCTAAATAGCCCATCAAAGCTTGTTTGTGAAGTGCTTCTATGGAAGGCCCCATCCGTATTTAATGTAATGATGCCATTGTTGGGTGGTTTCCATTTGACATACATAGATATTTTAAGACGTTTATGAGTATGAGTGTTAATTAAAAAAAGATGTTTTACTGTTAGTTGAATAATTGAGTTTGGTGAAGGCAGGATCACAGTGTTTTCGAAATAATTTTTATTTCGAGTATTCCACAAATGCCATAATGCAAAAGGAATCAGTTGTTTTAGAGGAATATTAAATGTGTGAAAATTACCCTTTTGATTAATAAGATATCGAAGCCAATAGTGGTTAGGAGTTTCGTGGGTGGTGACTATTTGAATAAGAAATTGAAGTTTGAGATTTTGCCAATAATGTGTTGCATGCATACATTTTAATAAGATATGTGCAATAGTCTCTTCTTCCATGTGACAATTGGGACACATATTTGATGGAATGATTCCTAATTTATGCAGGTAGTCTTTGGTATGTAGTCTATTGTGATTAGTGAGCCAAAGCAAGTACTTAATTTTGGGAAGCATTTGTAATTGCCAAATCCAACCATGATTATTAGCATTGTTAGGTGATTTAATGAGTGCTTTATAACAAAAGTTAATAGTGAATTGATCCGTATGTGTGTATTAACCCTAAATTATATGATCTGAATTGGTCTTATAATTAGTGATGTAAGTGTTATTAATTAAGTGGATTATCTGTTGAGGTAATTTGAATGACAGAAGGGGACTAGCACATTGGCTACTGAGAGAGTATGTTCATTAGTATTTAAAGGGCCATATATAAGACTTCTAATATTCATGTTTGGAGCGATCCAATTATCATTCCAAAAGTTAACATGTGTACTTTGCGTGACATGCCATTTTAATCCTATTTGGCATATTGCCATCCATGCATCATATGTTTTCATAGGGTGGAGGTCCTTCTAGGTGTTGTTCTAGTGATAGTAATATATTTAGAAATTAAGAAGGATTCTCAAGGTGTGGGGGTGATGAAACAACCTCCAAGCCATACTTACTAGTATGACATCATTTTTTTGCCGATGTTTTTGAATACCCAATCCACCGTGTTCCTTAGAGGAAGTAATTGTTTTCCAATTTAAGAGGTAAAGCTTCTTTTTTTGCGAGGTAGATCTCCATAAAAAAAATTTGATAGCTTTCTGGTCTAATGATGATATGAGTGAGTAGGGACATAATTTGCATACTATAATTGGGAATGGTATTTAGAGTTGCTTTGATCAAAGTAGTACGACCGTCCATTGTAAGATGGTTGGTTTTTCAACCCGCTAACCTATTTTTAAAATTATCTAAGATGAATTGGTAGTCTCTTTTGGTTGGTTTAGAGTTGAAGATAGCGAACCCCAGATATTTACCAAATGATGTCCCTTCCATCATGTTAAAACATGACAAGACAAAATTTTTGTCAATTACGGAGCAATATTTGGAGAAGAAAATTTTTAATTTTTTAAAATCTATTTTTCGCCCCGAGTGTTCAGTAAATTGGTTTAGTATGTCTATAATTTTACGATAACTAGGTGTAATTATTTTGGATTCCAATATAATGTCATCGGCAAAAAATAGATGGAAAATTTGAGGTCCATTAGCATTCAATGAAATAGGCTTCCAAAGGTTGTAGTCAACAACATTGTTTATTTGTCTAGATAATATTTTCATACATAAAATAAAGAGGTAAGGTGAGAGGGGATCACCTTGCCTAATACCACGTGATGGGGTGAAGGAATTTGTTGGTGATCCATTGAAAAGTATAGAAGTGGATGTGGTGGACCCACATGACATAATGAGAAATATTAGTTGTGGTGGAACATTAAAGAATCTTAAGGATCTTCTTATGAAGCTCCATTCCATTCTATCAAATGCTTTTTCGAGTCTACTTTTAGAAGCATGTTGGGGCACTTTGATTTGGAGTTTCTAAAATGAGTGAGTAATTCTTGAACAATGATGGCATTATCCGCTGCCCTTCTATTTTTTTGGAAAGCAGATTGAGTAGGGTTTATCAATTTTTGTAGAAAAGGTTTGATACGATTAACAATTATTTTTGTGATGATTTTGTAAAGAGTGTTACATAAACTAACCGGTCTAAAGTGAGTCATAGATGAGGGACTCTTGACTTTTGGGATCAAGCAAACATAAGTTGTGTTTAGCTCTACATGGATATAACCTTGTTGGAAAATAGTTTTACAGAAGGGGATTAAGGAGTGTTGGATTTGATGCCAGAATTTTTGGTAAAATAGTGGATGAAGTCCATCTGGCCCGGGTGATTTAAGAGGTTGGACAGAGTGCACTGATTGAAAAATTTCTTGATCATTCAGTGGGTGTAAGAGCATAGTAGCTTCAGTTGGTGAGAGAGCATGGTAATTATTGGTAGGATAAGTTTTGTAAGAATTTGTGTGAGAGGTGGTATAAAGATATTGGTAGTAAGTTATAGCTAGATGTTGTAGTGATGCAATATCCGTAATCCAGTTACCCGTAGAATCTTTTAAAGTAGTTATTCTATTACGACGCCTTCGTTTTATGGTAGACAAGTGGAAAAATCTCGTATTTGCATCCCCTTGGTTAAGCCAATTTATACGAGATTTTAATTTCCAAAGCTCCTCTTCAAAAGTGAGTATATGATTACACTGGGCAATTGGATCCCTTTCTAGATTTTGAAGGAAATTGCTAGTGGGATGGTGGCCTGATTTCTGAATTCCTGCTAGCCTAGCTTGAATATTATTTTTTTAATGAAAAAATATTCCAAACGATTGATAGTTTCAGGTTTGGACTAGAGATGTAAAATATTTTATTTCTTAACGTATATGAG